AATTCCAGTAATTGTGCTACTTGGTTTTAACCTAACTTTTCATCCGAGTTTGGTAACTTTTACACAGCAACACTTCCCTCTTTTTGAAAGCTTTCCACCAAAACCAGAATGATGCCTAAAACATCAGCAACTCATTTTCCTTCATCTCAGAAATCCCAAGCCTTTCCATAACTGAAATAGTGAAGGAGCCAGGGACCACTGCAGTATGTGTCCTAAAACAGCTTATTTGGATGAAAATTGTGAAGCTTGAGCAGAATAAACACTTGTAGCCTCTTGAGAATTTGCTGTGGTATTACTGGCTTATCACATGGAGCTGTGTACTAAATAAAATCAATAATTTGGTGGCTGGTCCTAACTTCCGCTGCATGAAGCTGCTCTGTTGTTTTGTCACAGCTATGGCCCTGTTTTCTCTTCTAATTTGTTGTGCTTGCTCATTGAAATTGAATCCCACAAGTTTTGGAGAAGTTGTTTTCCTCGGTGCAGGTGGCTCTTTCCTCCAGACGTGACAGGCAGCTAAGAGCTGCCTTTTTTTTTTAACCCTTCTGCCCATCTTGAAATCATGCTGAGGCTATGGCCACAGTGGTACCATGGGTCTTGCCCTGTATCTGATTTTCCTGTGTATAGGTTGTCGTGCATGTCAGTCACAGCATGTGCCCCACAGGCTCCTGTTACCTAATGTAGGTTGCTTTGGTTTGTTGGGTTTAGGGTTTTTGTCTGTTTTAACAAGGACAAAGTAAAAATCAAGAGCTTTAGTGGCCCCTGGGATGTCTCCCTGCTGGAAGCTCTCATGGCAAGTAGTCTCTGGCAGGGGTGCAGCCCTTCGTGCTTGTTCCTGCAAAATGTTCAAGCCTCACATCTTCAGCCCAGAGAAGCAAAGGAGAACCTACCCTTGCCATTTCCCTTCACCCTGCTTGTTTCACTTGGGAACACAATGAGCTGTCAAAATTTCCTGCCCTGTTTCCACAGAATCCTTCCTTTCACTCCAAAAAGGATTATTTATCTAAAACTGCTAATTGCCTAAATTGTCAGAACAATTGTTCAGCTTAATTTTAAGGTGGAGAGCGAGGAGATGTAAGGCCTGGTGGACTGATCAAGGTTGCCCTGAAAGTCCTCTGTCAAACCAAAAAAGAAAGTCTGGTGTGTTGCTGTGAACAGCCCTTGCCTTTGGAAATTAAAAGTCATGCGATACAGTGTACATCTGGTGTGATCCCTATATTTAGTATCTTTGCTGAGTGTACTTAGAGGTAATTAAAAGTAATAGGGAAGAATATAAATGTTATCCAAGTAAAAGCCAAGAAAGCATGGAGGGCAGGTGTGGTTGATTTAGTCCACCACTACTTCCTAACTAATCTTTTTCTAATGATGTAGAAAGAGACTGGGTGGCACCTGGTGAAGGATTTTGAAATAACAGATTCATGAGGTAGAGCTACTTGATAACATCTTTGACTCAGCAGAAACTTGCCTTCCCTGAGGGTAAAATTAATAATCCTTGAATATAAGGATTTTACAGGCTTTTACCTAGGCAGTAGGGATGCAGATTTATTGTGCATATAGTTTCTCATAGTGATAGAGACAGACGAGAATGTTATTATCTGTAAAAAATGTGAAATAACACAAATAGCCAGTCAGAATCATCAGTAATTTTACATGACGTCAAGTCCTTGGTTTGCTGGTTTAGTAAAACTGAGTCACATTTTCTTAGTTTGAAGAACATATAGCTGGTAGCAAGTTTAGCAACTGTCATGCATAGTCCTTAACTATTTTAGTCCATTTTTCTGTATGTATAAAGCCCATGCCATCAGCTACTTCAACTGCTTTTATCTCCTCCTTTGGAATCATATTTTTCTCATCACCTAAATGGTTCTTTTCCCATTCTGCTCCTTATCAATGGTGGGCATTACTCCAGGTTGATTTTCCTTTTATGAAATGGCTCTCTAGTGCCTCTTCCTAGAGGTCCTTCTCCTCATTTTTTTCCAGGAGGAATTCAGCTTCCTCAGAGGCAGTATTTCAGCTGAACTTACACCAAGTGCTTTGACTAATGGCATCAATACCTCCCTTACTTTCCCTCTGAAATTACTTTACCTGAATAATGTACGTGCCTGTCCGAGTTGGCTAGTCTTTAGTTCTGTAGGAGACATCAGCAGCACCACGAGAGGAAGCTAGACTACCAGTAAAATGAAAGTGGAAGCTGCCCATAGCCACACATAGCTGCCCTAGCCATAGAGCAGTTGAGGCACAGAATGGGACAGCTGCAGTGAACTTTGTAGCTGCATATACCTGGTATCTCCAGCTTTGTCTCACTTGTGCTCTCCTAATTCTGTGTCAAGATCATCAATAAAAATTTTAAGACCATTCCCAGTATCAGTCTTCTAAAGATCACGCAGTAGCTGTTACCAAGCAAGGTTTCCTTTCAATGTACCACATTATCTTCTTACAGTCTTTTCCCACTTCAGTTTTTGTGCTTATCTCTTGCCTTATATGTTTAATAAAGCCCTTATGATTGAAATGCACTACACTGTTGATTTTTTTGCTGTTGTCTAATCGTTAGCTACTTTATTCGAGGTAAGTATCAAGTTTTATCTTGCATCGTCTACTTTGGGTAAGCTCATACTGTGTTTTCCTCTGTGTTGCAGTTGTCTACCTATCTTTAGCGTTCTCTTCCTCAAAATTTGGGATCATGCTATTAAGATCAGAGTTGGGCATTACCTTTATATGTAACTTTGTATGATTTTGTTCTTCTGTAGTACTATGGTACTTTTCTTGATCTGATAGATACATTATTTCATGTCCAGGAAGAAAATCAATCTTTCCCGGTTTACAGTATCTTACATCTTTGGGGGAGGGGTGGGGTGGGGGTGGGGGTGTGTCAGATTTTTGGAAGTTTGAATTTCTCTCTTTTTTTGTGAAGGATCTGTTGATTTAGTCACGAGTGACATGTTGATCAGCGGGATTACTTGCAAGGGATTACTTGCAGTTTCATGTTAATTCATTGGTGCATGCAGAAAAACAAAAGCCTTGATCAAAGCATGCTCTTGAATTTACACCCATTCTTAATTTGCTGGTGCTTGTATTAGTGACAGGCTCAAGCCTGTCTGATTTTTTGGAGTTTATATAACACGTACCATATGCTTGCCATTCTTACTCTTTCTGCACGAGTCAGCCAATCTGATGGTCTACCTGTGGCAGAGAGCAATGCTTTTAAGTCCAGGTGCTGCCTTTTGAGCTCTGACTCATGGGTGCTGATGAATCTTGCTTCGGTGTTTTACAAACTCTCCAGCTATTTGCTCCACCCTTCTGCCCTTCAGCAGAAGGAGTGCAGGGGAGTAGGTGTATATACCACCATTGCCACAAGTTGCACATGATTTTAAGCTGCTGATGAAGGTAGACCCATGCTATTACCATACCTTTGAACTGCAACAGCTGAAGAGCAGGCAGAGGTTTGCACCTCCTGCCCCTGCTATCAGGAGGGGTAAGTGGGGTTAACAACAGCTTGAGTTCTTTCGGGCTGGTTCCTTAGAGCGAGCAGTTACCAAGTGGGAGCAGAGTAGAGTGAACACGTGTTCAAAGTAACAAAGCGAAAGTCAGGATGAGAGAAAACAGATTGATATTTGTAATCAAAAGTGACAGTGTTTGAAATATTCTTAATTGGAGAGCATGCTTCTGTGTCTTTTGTACCTCTAAGGACCCCTAGAGGGCACGGAAGTTTTTCTCCACCTCGAATATTTAACTTAATAGTTCTACTTGGCTTTCTTCCCTTAAACATAATTGTAAGCACATTTTAAGTGAATGTTAGATAGAAAAAAACAACAGTATCTAACTAGGTCCTTCTTTTGCACTGCAAGATGTTTTCTTGTTTTTAAACACAAGCAGCAAGAGTTAGCACTAGAAGCCAAATTCTTAAATTATCTTTGTTTAGATTAGTCAGATGCTATATTCATATCCCAGAGGAAGCACAACTGAAGCTAACTAATAATTCATAATTTTATTGCAAATTTTGAGAGTCCTACAGCATAAGCTGTCTGAGGAAGTGCAGTGGGTATGCTTTCCACACTATGGCCCATGTTTCTGTAGAGGAGGTACTGGTATTGTGAAGAACTAGAGTACTCTAATCTGAACCTATAAAACCTTATTTTAGAAATTTTAATATTTATTTTTGTTATTTGCCTGTAAAGAAACTATTACATTATAGTACAAGATATTTAAGGTTATGGAAACGTAAAAATTACATCTGCTTCCTACTACTTCCTATCTACTTGGAGAGAGATTTTTTAACTCTTACTATCCTGAGTAGCATTTTCTTCTGAAACAAGTTTTGCCTATTTCATCAATATTACATGTTAATTCGGGAAATAATCAATGTGAATTCCACAGTGATAGTATTATGTTGTTCTTTTATCATATTTAAATATAAATCCTAAAGCACTGGAGTAATGCTTATCTGAGAACATCAGGTTTCACTTACATAAAGAAGCTTCAGTGTTTGAGATGGCTGATGTTTTCCAGTGTGCTCAAAGAGCAGAAAGTAAAACAAATACAGTCAAACAAGCACAAACAAAATGCCACCTTAAAAAAATACTCGTATTTTCTTTTTGATTTTTTTCATCAACTCATGATTTTGAGACCAGCCCCACACCTTTGGAAGTCAGTTGTGCAGTGAGCCTTTTGTGAGTAGTGCCATGACAGTCAGAACCCAACTGGTCTTGTCTGGGCAAAAAAAAAACCAGACCTCTGTGCTACTCCTGCATGTCTACTTACTGGGCAAGAAGCTGGAAATAAGATAAATGTGGGGAGGGGTGTTGTGCTTTTGTTCTGATAAGAGGACCAGCTATACTGCTTTACCCAATTACCCAGGGATGTCATGGGAGATGATTTTTTGCACCCTAGTTTTCCCACTGGAGGAGCATAATGTCATCACTTTGAATAGAAAATAGATCTAGATCTAAACAGCAAAGAAAGGCAGCTGCTCCTTCTAATGTCTCTGGGGATTTTGTGTTTTGCAGGAGATGCACGGGTGAGAGGTCAGACAGGGGTTCTCTCCGAGCGCCGTGGCTCCTACCCGTTTATAGACTTCCGTCTTCTTAACAGTAAGTGTAACCCTCCCTTCAGCTCTGTATTAAAAATAAAGTAAAATAAATCTATTGAAAGTATAGGAACCAAAGTATCTCGTCTCATACATATCTGTAGTTCAGCTGTCTTCACATAGTCAGCATTAATAATTAATTCTATTATTCCCACTCAGTGTTTGTGAAATGTTCTGATTGTACAAATAACTGTCCATAATGCTGAGTCTGTCAAGTAAATACAGTGGTGCCATCGGGTTTGCTGGGGGAACAGGGGGTGCTTCAGAATTAAAAAGATAAATCTCTGCGTCCCTTAGCCTCTAAGCCAACAGTTGGAACAGATTTATGTGAGTCTGTTATCCGGTCATATAGAATTGGCACAGAAGGGGAGCATGTGACAGCACTGACCAGTGGTTTACAATAACATTAATTTTTCCAACAATTAGAACCCAATCCAAAGCCCCATGGAGTCTTCTCATTGACGTCAATGGATTTTGGGTCAGGCCAGCAGTGAACATCTGTTAAAAATAATCTTAACCTCATTTTGATTGAAGTTATTTTGCCACTGTTGTAAATAAAGGAGGGCAAATATAAAAAGGAAAAAAAAACATCGGGATCCTGTTCTTTGGGGTTGTTTTCACCTGATAGGTTTTTTATACTGATGCACAGCCATTAGCCAGTGTGTAAACAATAAAATAAAAAAAAAAACAGAGAACACTTAGACTTGGGCCCTGTCACATTCAGTGTGGATGCTGTGTTAACTGCAGTGTTCAGACACAGGGAGCTGTCAATGTGTCCTTGTGTACTTCACAAACTACTCCCTGTAACATTTGAAACAAAATTTATTCACTGTCTTCATCAAAACAGACTGAAGGTCCAACAGTTTGTTTAGCAATTACACTTTCAAGCTTCTAGTGATTATACTTTGCATTAAGAAGCAATTGTCAAGGCAAAGTTTTGTATCTCCCATTTGTGACTGCTTGTAACTTGCCTGAGCACCTGAGGAAGAAGAAAGGAGGTAGTTGCCAGGGAGGGAGGAAGAAGCCCAGCTGCAAAGGGCTGGGAGTCAGGAGAAAAAAGGTGCTAATACGGAGGGGAGGTCTTGGGATCTGACAAAGGGAATAACATACTGGTTTGAGCAGAGCTCTAATTTAGTCCTGGCTTGCAATGAAAAATTTGAAAAAAAAACCCCACCTGGTTTAGGCTAGTTGGAAATATTACTGTTGATGCCCTTATAAAGACTAAGAGAAAATAAATCACTTCTTTTCAGTCCTGAAGTAGATGTGAATATATATTCACATTTAAGTGTGACTAATAATTACTTTTTTATCTTGAATACATACATGATACTTACAATTCTCATCGTATGTTCTTCCCTCTTCCTGGTTAAAGAAACCAAAAACTTCTCAGATCTTTTTTCTGGCAATAGGGCTTTCAGTTTTTACCCCTCTAGATGAATCCTGCTGGCTTCTGGGAAGTGCTGGTGCTGTCTGTGGGCTGTCTAGGGAGAGATCCATGGGAAGGAACATACTGTGAATGCTCAGACTTTGATCATACAAGGAGCAGGGCACTCCTCATAACCCATCTCCTGTAACTGCTGAACTTAAAAGCGATGCCTCCCACAGCATGTGTGTTTGATCCCATGGATGTGAGGCACCCTGGAGACCTCTGGCATTCTTCCTTTTTACTGCTTTTCTATAATCTGAAGGAAGTCCCTATGGCTGATCGTGATCTCTTGATCTCTGCGTAAGGAGAAGCAGTGATTTCGATTTTGGATTTCCCATTGTTTTTACGGTTTTGTGTATTTACTGCTTTCTGTCTAGGGAGTGGTATAGGCTTCATTTTTTTTAGTGCAAACTGAAGTGATATTTCTAGGCATTTAACTGCTAATTTTGTAGATGGCAAGTGCACTGGGCCTGGCTCACTCGGTGACCTACAGGTAAATGAAGATGCTGTGTGTCAGAACACACAGATACATATTTTTCCAATAAGTAAGCAGAGGTATATGAACAAATAATATAAAAGTCTGTCAAATTCTTTTCTGTTGTACATACCATATAACAGCAAAAAAAACATAGTGCTGCACATCCTATTAAAAAGAAACATATATAAATATCACTACTGCACACTTTTTTGGACAGTGCATAGCTAACAGTTGCAGTAATATTTTGGCACCACGCTGTATTTGTTTGGAGCAATAGCTGACAGGCAGCAACTGCATACTGAAAGCTGTTACAGTAAGGGACGGATGAGGCAGAGAATATTTTATGGTAAATATCACAATATCACAGTATCACAGTTTGCTAGAGATTGGAAGGGACCTCAAAAGATCATCTAGTCCAATCCCCCTGCCGGAGCAGGAACACCTAGATAAGGTTACACAGGAATGTGTCCAGGTGGGTTTTGAATGTCTCCAGAGAAAGAGACTCCACAACCTCCCTGGGCAGCCTGTTCCAGTGTTCCGTCACCCTCACTGAGAAGAAGTTTCTTCTCAAGTTTAAGTGGAACCTCTTGTGTTCCAGTTTGTACCCATTACCCCTTGTCCTATCATTGTTTGCCACTGAGTAGAGCCTGGCTCCATCCTCGTGACACTCCCCCTTTATATATTTATATACACTAATAAGGTCACCCCTCAGTCTCCTCTTCTCCAAACTATAGAGACCCAGCTCCCTCAGTCTTTCCTCATAAGGGAGATGCTCCACTCCCTTAATCATCTTGGTTGCCCTGCGCTGGACTCTCTCCAGCAGCTCCCTGTCCTTCTTGAACTGAGGGGCCCAGAACTGGACACAATATTCCAGATGGGGTCTCACCAGGGCAGAGTAGAGGGGAAGGAGGACCTCTCTCGACCTACTAACCACCCCCCTTCTAATACACCCCAGGATGCCATTGGCCTTCTTAGCCGCAAGGGCACAGTGTTGGCTCATGGTCATCCTGTCATCCACTAGGACCCCCAGGTCCCTCTCCCCTACACTGCTCTCTAACAGGTCGTTCCCCAACCTATACTGGAACCTGGGGTTGTTCCTGCCCAGATGCAGGACTCTACACTTTCCCTTGTTGTATTTCATCCAGTTATTCCCTGCCCAACTCTCCAGCCTGTCCAGGTCTCGCTGGATGGCAGCACAGCCTTCTGGCGTGTCAGCCACTGCTCCCAGCTTAGTGTCATCAGCAAACTTGCTGCTAGTACACTCAATTCCCTCATCTAAATATCCTCAGAAGTTATAAAGAAATGCAGCATAAAAATTACTCCACTTCTCACTAATTCACAAAAACTGAGTTTAAATAGTGATTGTTCCTTATTCCAAATAACAGTACACCCTTGTTTTAAAGTAAGAGAAAAAACCGAAACTCATTCTTTTAACAGAGTTGAATTTCATTTTGAAAATTGGCATTTAAAAAACATAAGGACATTGCTATTTAATGTCAGACTAAAGGTTACTTCAGTGTAACCTTTTTAACTTAGTTACAGACTGGTGGATTTCAGTCAAACTGGTGAATTCTTACCTACTCTGGCTATTAAGGGTTAACACTGAGTAGACCATATCTTTTGTTTTTTCTGGAGTCCTGCAATAAAGTCACTATGTAACTTAAGACACCCTTAAGTCTTTTTGGATAGGAAAACTTCCTGCACTCTGAAAATGGGATCTTCTGTAGCTCTAATCAAAGCCAACTGGATTAATATTGGCTTCTTGCTGTTTGAGCTAACGTCTTGTGATGCCATCTACACATTCCTCTGGTGCCTCTCTGCAATATATAGGAAGTTAGTGAGTGTTATTTCACCTTGTCAGTGCCAATCTGTCAGGGCAGTGAGGATTTTGCAGGATCCTGCCTGGAGGAGATGCAAGGCTTTAGCATATTCCTCTTTTCTCTGCCTAGTTGTAAACTTTCCTTGAGGCATAGTTGCAGTGGTGGGTTTTGGGACTCTAAAGATGACTCTGGAATACAAAATTAAATACAAAATATCCCTGTGTCACCAAGAACTCCTCGGTTCTGCATTACAAGGAATATATTTACCTTAGCCTCTTGAGTCAGTCCCTGCAACCTGTGGAGACCTGCATGATCAACCAGATACTTGTTTGTGTTGATAGTTTTGAGCCAGAAGCTTGAGGGAAAGCTATGCAGCAGCTTCTCTCCCCAGGGAAGCTTCAGCAGCCAATGTATGTTAGCCAGCCTGGTCTGAAGACCTTGAAGGAGGCAAGCCAACCACCTCTTTTTCCATCTGTCATAGTAAGACAGGGGACCACCTGCCCCTGATGGCCACAGATATACCCCAGGAAAATAAAAACAAAAAGCTGGACATGGCAGACTTGAGGGTCCATGTTCACTAGGGTGCTTATAGAGAAATATTCAGACTTTAGAAACTCCTAAAGTAGAAGATACAAGTTTTGCAGAGCCCTGTGTGTTTATAGGAAAACGGGGAGCAGGCTTTCTCTTCATGCAGACAACACATTCCTCAAAATGGGAGCAGTAGAAGAAAAGAAGGCTTAGTGTTCAGAACCTACTTTCCACAAGGAGTAATGGGGTGTAATAGACAAGCGTTAGGTGCCATCAAGTTGGTGAGTACAATCTCTTAAACAATGCAAGATTGATTCCAAACCAAACATTACAAATTTTAGGAAAGTTTGACTCTGAACTCAGTAGCTTGTAACTGTACCCAAAGCAGGTTGAAATTAATGGTGGCAGTTTGTTGGCACTTCTGCATTTCTGTGAATTAAATGAGACTTTTTGTGTTCACAGGACCGAAAAGGACTTACCCTGAATATGAGCAGGGGAATAATTAAGCATTTGAGACACTTCTGCAGTGAAAATTAACTTGATCCAGTTTTCCTTTTAGCAAAGCATAGTCTGGGTTTGAGAAATAAAGGACCGTAGGCAGCAGTAATTTAGTTCTCTGATTGACAGAGTTGCTCAGTGAGTCATTGAACCAGATCCCACCAGTGACTAATACGCATTTATTAAAATAGTATCTCATGAGTTCTGCTGGTTACTGTTATAGTACGTTTCTTCATTGCATCAACCAAAAGTTT